TCATCATAATTAACACCATCATAATTATCATAATCAACTCATACATTTATTATTAATAGACCAGAGTGACAAATATTTTCATGTGTATCATACATGTTCACTGTATTGGGTTTTCCCCTCGTGGAATGCATGCGAAGTTTCAATTGAACAAAAATTAAGCTCAACACTCGTCAGGGATGGTGACTTCACTATTCCAATACCAATATCTTCACAGATATGAGGAAAAAAATAATAAGAAGTTAAAATTAGATGCAGTGCAATGACTGCAGGCTGAGGATAAAAAAAAAAATAAGAAGTTAAAATTAGATCCAGTGCAATCCGAGGGCTATATCACTCAGAGAAATCTGTGATTTTTTGTCCGAATAGTGACGAACTTTTGTGCATCCTGACCAGGTTTGACCTGCCGGCTGAAAGACATACCAGTCCTAAAAGAAACTTCACTATTTGGACAATATTACACATTTATTTTTATGAGGGATATCTGAGAGCACGTAGTCTTTTTGATGCAACTCAGCCCTCGTATGAACTTCTTCAGGTTAAAACATTAAGATAAAATTGACAATAAAAACATTAAAATAAATATTGACGATCTGGTTCACCACCTGTTCACCCCCTGTTCACCCCCTGGTGCAAAAGATACAATATGTACAGGGGTGGGACAAAATAAGGGAAACGTCTGACATTTTGACATCGTAATTTTTGAACATGTTATTAACAATGAAAACGTGACATAATTTTATGTTTTATTGTTGATTGTTGCTTCTAATTGATATTATATCCTTGCACAGATATTTTTAGTTAATTTTTGTGTCTAACCTAACTTATAAATGGCAAACCTCTCCGACTTTCAAAGAGGCTAAAATTGTTGGTGCCCGTATGGCAGGTGCTAGTGTGACAGAAACTTCCCGAATGCTTGACGTTTCCAGAGGTACTGTCTCAAAAGTAATGACTGCTTATGAAAGAGAAGGAATAACATTCTTAGCAAAGCCCAGGTCTAACCAAAAGTCGAAGTTGTCTGAGAGAGACCGTCGATACCTAAATCGAATTGTGAGGGACAATCGAAAGACCACGGCTGTCAAAATTACTGCAGGCCTCAATGGACACCTACAGAACCCAATTTCCATAAAGACTGTCCGCCGAGGGCTGCACAGATCTGGATTCTATGGAAGAGCTGCAATTAGAACACCTTTGGTTTCAAATACAAATGCTTCAAAGCGTTAAGAGTGGCATGAAAACCACCAAAATTGGTCCGTCGTGCAGTGGAAAAATGCGTTTTCCTTTGACGAATCTTCGTTTACATTATTTCCAACCTCTGGCCGAGTTTACGTTCGGAGACAGCCTTAAGAGTCATTTAATCCGACTGCCTCCTCCAAACCGTAAAACATGGCGGGGGATCTGTGATGATCTGGGGGTGCTATTTCTTGAAAATCTCCCAAAACAATGATTTTTCTTCATGGAAGAATCAACAGCCGTGACTATTTAGGAATTTTGGAGGACCAAGTTCATCCAATGGTTCAAGCAGTCTGCACCTGCTGCAGGTGGGTGTTGCTGCACCTGCTGCATGTGGGTGTTCCTGCACCTGCTACATTTTTTTCATTCGTGAATTTAAATTTCATTTTTAATTTAAATTTTATTGCTGAATTCAAATTTCCTTCCTGAATTGAAATTTTATTTCTGAATTTAATTTTCATTTCCGAATTTAAATTTCAGTTTTAAATTGTGAACTACTCTACCTAGCTCCACGTGCGTACATTTAAAGTTTTGAATGCGCGTGAATGCTACTAAACATTGTACACGTGAATATTTCGGTGATGAATATTCATGCAATTGTTGTTTTGGTGATGAATTATTCATGCAATTGTTGTTTCTGTGATGAATTATTCACGCAATTGTTGTTTCTGTGATGAATTATTCATGCAATTGTTGTTTCGGTGATGAATTATTCATGCAATTGTTGTTTCGGTGATGAATTATTCATGCAATTGTTGTTTCGGTGATGAATTATTCATGCTATTGTTGTTTCGGTGATGAATTATTCATGCTATTGTTGTTTCGGTGATGAATTATTCATGCTATTGTTGTTTCGGTGATGAATTATTCATGCAATTGTTGTTTCGGTGATGAATTATTCATGCAATTGTTGTTTCGGTGATGAATTATTCATATAATTGTTGTTTCGGTGATGAATTATTCATGCAATACAATTCATTCCTTCAGAATATTCATTCACATGAATTATTCATGCACTTTACATGAATTATTCATGCAATGCACATGACAGGTGCTAGGTAAGGGCGCGCCATGGGCGGCCGCCTTATCACAGCGATGCGGCGCTGAGCTGTTCCTGCTGCTGCATGCTGCACTGCAGCACATCTGTCTGCTGCACCACAGTCTGTTTCATTTATATATTCAATTAACTTATCATATGAAATGTAGTGTAAGATACCACCGTCTGTTTCATTCCATTAATTAATTTACTTATCATATGAAATATAGTGTAAGGTTCATTGCTATTTATTACGTATTTCTCTGCTACACCGTATGTTTCATTTCAATTAACTTATCTTATTAACTTATCTGCCTAAATATAGTGTAAGATTCTTTTGTATGTACAGTATATGTTATTTATTAAGTATTTCTCTGCAACACTGTGTATTTAATTTGATTTAGATAATTAATTAACTTATCATATGAAATATAGTGTAAGATACCACCGTCTGTTTCATTTAGGTTTAATTTACTTATAATATTTGATTAATTAGATTAACTTCTTATCAAATATACCTAGTCTTTGTAAGATTGGTTTGTATGTATATGTTATTTATTACGTAGTATTTCTCAGCACCACCGTCCGTTTCATTTATTTATTTAATTAACTTATCTGCCTAAATATAGTGTAAGATTCTTTTGTATGTACAGTACGTATACGTATGTTATTTATTAAGTATTTCTCCTGCACCACCGTGTGTTTCATTTAGATATTTAATTATAAGCTAAAATATCGTGTAAGATTCGTGTGTATACCTATGTTATTATCACTGCACCACCGTGTGTTGAATTTAGATAATTTATATAAATAATTAACTTATCTTCTGATATATAATGTTAAGATTTATTTGTATGTACATGTTTTTAGCCCTGCAGCACCGTCTGTTTCATTCCATTAATTAATTACCTTATCAGCTGAAATATAGTGTAAGATTCTTTTGTATGTACAGTATATGATATTCATCACATCTGTCTCCTGCACCACCGTCTGTTTCATTTATTTATTTAATTATAAGCTAAAATATCGTATAAGATTCGTTTGTATGTATATGTTCTTATCCCTGCACCACCGTGTGTTGAATTTGTATATTTAATTTTCTTATCAGATGAAAGATAATGTAAGATTCATTTGTATGTACAGTATATGTTATTTATTAAGTATTTCTCCTGCACCATCGTGTGTTTCATTTATTTATTTAATTAACTTTTGATTATTATTTAATTAAATTTAAGTAATTAAATTTAATTTTAATTTGTTTAATTTTAATTACTTTTTTAAATTTAATTTTATTAATTGAATTAACCTAGTGTTTGGAAGATTGGTTTGTATGTATAGTTATTTATTACGTAGTATTTCTCAGCACCATCGTCTGTTTCATTTAGTTAATTAATTAACTTATGAGCTGAAATATAGTATAAGATTCATTCGTATGTATAGTATATGATATTCATTACGTATTTCTCCTGCACCACCGTCTGTTTCATTTAGTTATTTAATTAACTTATCTGTTAATTCTGTTAACTTTAATTAACTTTCAATTAACTTATCTTATTAACTTATCTGCCTAAATATAGTGTAAAATTCTTTTGTATGTACAGTATATGTTATTTATTAAGTATTTCTCTTGCACCTCCGTCTGTTTCATTCCATTAATTAACTTATGAGCTGAAATATACCTAGTAAGTATAAGATTGGTTTGTATGTATGGTATATATTATTTATTACGTAATTCTTTGCAAAACCGCACGTTTGATTTACATAATTTATTAAATTTTCAGCTTAAATATACGGTAGTGCAAGGTTGATTTGTATGTATAGTTATTTATTCNACTGCACCTGCAGTACAGGTGCACGCAGGCCTACCTGCACCTGCAGGTCAGTGTATGTAGAGAGCCTGCACCTGCAGTACAGGTGCGTGCAGGCCTACCTGCACCTACAGGTCAGTGATGTAGAGAGACTGCACCTGCAGTACAGGTGCACGCAGACCTACCTGCACCTACAGGTCAGTGTACGTCTTCACCTGAATATCTGCTCTGTAGACATTCACTGAGCAGAACAATGAACTGACATGTGCAATTATTGTGCATTGTAGAGAAATTCTCTCTTAAATATTATACAAAATGTATATAATGATTACATTGTACAATGCATTGTGTAAGCACGTGTCGTTATATCAACGCTTGATATAGCGTGCAGAGTAGCGTGAGTAATGCCTGCACTGTTAGAAAAATTAGCGTTAACGGTATTACCGGCGTTTCAGTGGCCGGTCGGCACGTGAAAAGAAACACCGTGGCGCCGTTTTTATTCTAATTTAACATTAGAAATCCATAAACCATCTGATATAAAACGGCGAAACAGTTTATTTTCACGGGGCGACCGGCCACTAGAACGCCAGTGGGACTGTTTTTTCACCGTTTTTTTAACAGTGTACTAACACGCAGTAGTCATTGGCAGAGTCTCCAAGACTGCATTGGGTCGAGCAGTTTCTGTGACGTGTAGTAGTTGTCGTTACTTGCAGTAACATATGTGTTGTAGCGTGTATAACACAAATATTGCAGCGTGTAGTAACACATATGTTGTAGCGTGTATAACAAATATTGTAGAGTGTATTAGTATGAACCTTGAAGTAAAGTGACGTGATTTGTGCTGTGCAGGAAGGCAGGCAGCAGAAGTGGCGGCAGCTGTGGCCGCTGCTGCAGCTGGTAGCCAGCATCACCAACATCTGCTACTACCTCAGGTGATGGTGGTTACGGTGTGATGGTGGTTATGGTGATGGTGGTTACGGTGATGGTGGTTACGGTGATGGTGGTTACGGTGATGGTGGTTACGGTGATGGTGATAAGGTGATGGTAGTTACGGTGGTGGTGGTTACGGTGATGGTGGTTATGGTGATGATGGTTACAATGATGGTGGTTACGGTGATGGTGGTTTAGGTGATGGTGGTTACAGTGATGGTGGTTACGGTGACGGTGGTTATGGTGATGGTGGTTACGGTGATGGTGGTTACGGTGATGGTGGTTACGGTGATGGTGGTTACGGTGATGGTGGTTAAGGTGATGGTGGTTAAGGTGATGGTGTTTTTTTTTTTGTCGTGAGCAGTTGTTGCTTGTCATTCTTTTCTTAGGTTAGGTCAATTGTTTGACTAGAAAAACTTACCTTAAATTCTTGTATTTTCAAATATCTTTTGTGCTCACCCTGCTCGTTTGTGCTCACCCTGCTCCCTGTGCTCACCCTGCTTGTGCTCACCCTGCTCATGGTGCCCCGCAGGTACATAGGTGGCGACAGCGCTGTGTGCTCACTGAGCCACGCCGTGAGCGGAGTCACGCTCACCAGGCGCTCACCTCAAGACGAGCGTGACCAGCACGCTCTCACGTGAGCCCAAAAATTATCGAATATCATTCGATAATTGAGTGCTTCGATAATTGCTTGATTAAATGTGAACATTTTAAATTAAATTAGTTGAATAATAAATTGAATGATGACATTTTTCGGTAATTAAATGTTTAAATTTTTTCCGGAATAACCGCCGTATTTCATCACAAATGCTGGGATCGGGCCGTATCACATCACAAATGCGGCCTAAGTATACGTAGCGGCCTAAGTACATGTAGCGGCCTCTTTACACGTAGCGGCCTAAGTACACGTAGTAGCGGTCTAAGTACATATAGCGGTCTAAGTACATATAGCGGCCCAAATACATATAGCGGTCCATTTCTCGCCTGTGATTGGTGGGCTTAGCTTGAAAAACCGTCAGTGATTGGCTGACGGAGTTACGAACTGATAAATAAATATTATTGATAGCATGGCCCCTGTAATGCAGACTTCGTAGACCGTGCCCAAATAAATGTAACGCATGTAACGTCAATTGTAACGCATGTAACGTCAATTGTAACGCGTGTAACGTCATCCAGCTGGCGCCAGCAGTTGGTGGCCGCGACGCCCGTGAAGCTCATGGAGTTCTTGGAGCTGGCAGCGTTCTTGCTCCAGTTCCTGGAGACGTGGTACTCCAGCGACCGCTCCAGCGGCGCCTCCATGGCCCCACAGCATGAGTCCCGTGTCCCGCCGTTCCCCCATGAGGCTCCCGCTGGGGGACCAGACCCGCGGTGTCCCGTGTGTCACGGGGAGATCAAGCAACCCACGGCGCTCGCCGTGTCGGGGTAAGATTTTTTTCAGGGAAGAAAGTAAAAACAACATCGTATCGGTTTTCTGGAGGAATTTTTTTTCCTATTAGAGGGATTTTTCTTTTTAATGAAGAAGATAAAAAGAACATCGTATCGGTTTTCTGGAGGATTTTTTTCCTATTAGACGGTTTTATTAAAAATTTTTAACGGGAACGGTCTTACTTTAAAATAATAATGAAAATACGCGTATCTGTTTTCTTGTGAACGATTTTTTTAGGGGGGAGTCCTGTTCAAAAAGAAAAAATATAACTCGGTACTCACTGCAGTGAGTGACTGAGAGCGCATTTTCTCGTCGACGAAAACGTGAAGTCACAGACGGATAGACAGACGGACGGACAGACGGACATGGCGAGCACAATAGTGCATTTTTTTCATAAATGAGAAATGCGCTAAAAAGATGTGGTATCGGTTTTCTAAGCTTATTTTGTAGCTATGAAGTAGGCGCTAATGATGCAGCAAATCTTATTGTAATGCGTGCCTCAGATTGTACTTGATGTAGTTTCTAACTTGTAATTAATGTATGTACATTGCCTGACCGTTTGGCCTGGAAAAATTTATGTATTTATATGCACGCGTATGTTGAATGAAATTAAATCTCAAAATAATTGATGGAAACTAAAAATGTATACCTAAACAATTAAGAAATAATTTTAACGTCGATAGCCATTTCTTTTAGGCCTATGATACATATTAATTTTTTATTTTAACTCAACCTTTGTTGAGTTTGAAAATCTTATGCCTCTCTACCACCTGTTTCTTGTTCACCACCTGTTCACCACCTGTTCACCACTTGTTCACCACTTGTTCACCACCTGTTCACCACCTGTTCACCACCTGTTCACCACCTGTTCACCACCTGTTCCCCC